CAGCAGCCCAATCAACTCTGCGTCTGCTGGGAAACAGAAGGAGCTCCAGAACACGGCAGGTTTGGGTTTTCCTGCTGCCCAGGCAGAGTGAAGGAACCACCACTCCAGCTCAGCCCGGTGGGAAGCACCCTCAGCACCCAGGGGGACCAAACAGTTTGGCAAAAGGTAGAGAGACATTACAGGAACCAAAGAGAGGATATGAAGCCCCAGACAGGTACATCTCATGTCTCACTCATAACATGCCCTCTCTGCTTCAATCCTCATGCTGGGAGGCATGGATCCTGCAGGCAGATCCCATGCTGGACATTGCAGCATTAACACTGAGACCTCAGCACAGAGGGACTGCAGGGATCCTGTGGGGCTGTGCTGCGTCTGTGTTGCAGTGGTGGAACTCAATGGAAGACAGATGCTCTGGTCCCTGACCTCAGGTACTGCAGGACATGAGGGTCATTGGAGCCATATCCATGTCTTCAGCAGAGCTTATGCCCATGGGAGGAGACAAGAATCCAGCCCAGGACCTTTATTTCTCCTAGGGAATGGCTAGCAGGAGCCTCTTGGGAAACAGCTGCTTTCTCAGGAGAGTTGCTGCCTTTGTCCACACCAGCAAGATGCATTTGGACCACACTGGTTCCAGTGCACAATCTTGGTGATTCGTGAGCAAACAGACCAGCAGCAACGAATCTGTCCCGGGGGTTGGTGCGCGTGAGGCTTTCAGTGCTGTGAGGGGTGTGTAAGGGGTGCTGAGCCCACTGCAGGCTGTGATGGTGGGGAGCAGGGGGCCGTGGCTGGGGAAAGTGGCCCAGCCTGTGTGCAGCAGGGCCCTCCACAAGGCAGCACCATCCTCTAGCGGCCACCGGCCTGTGCTGCACCAGGGCCACTGCCAAGCCACCCCTGAGCCACTGCTGAGCCATTGCCATGCCACTGGGCCATGTCCAGCCCAGGCTGGGCTGCTCTCTCTGCCCTCTGGCCCACAAATAAGGACGTCAGCACGTGTAGGAAGGGGCACCCTGCTGGGATTGGGATCCCTGCTGAGACACAGATGGTGCGTTTCCCGAGCACTGGGACTCAGTCCCTTCTGTGGTGCGATGTAATGGCAGAGGGCACTGCTCCTGCACGTGGCATCACCCCCCAGTGCCCTGAGAGCACCGGCCTTGCTACACTCAGCAAAGACACAGTGCTGGGAACAGGCTGTGGAACCAGCATTGTTGGTGCTGAGACCAGACATGGGATGAGGCAAGGGTGGAGGCCAATGGTGCACAGGTCACAGTGCACAGGGGCACCAGGCTGTGGTCCAGCACCAAGAAATGCCCATGATGAAGGAGCAGCCACTCCCTGGGAGGACAGCAGACCTGACACCAGATGGCAAGTCAGCATCTCCTGCTCTGGCATCTGCCAGCACCCCACAGAACAGGACAATCCAGACAAGGCTACAGCATCTGCCACTGAAAACACAACCCCAAAAACAGCCTCCAACCTTTCTCCTAATGACAGAGCCTTCCCTAAGCCTAGCCTGAGTCCTATAGCCTTGGCCCTGGGGATACTGAATCCACAGCAGGGTCAGCACTGGCCCCAAGGCCATTGCAAGCAGAAGGAAAGCTGTGAGCCCAAGCAAACAGAGCAGAACCAGCCAGGTCTCACTCTCTAAGCACGAAACACTGGAGAAATTTTACACCATGTCTAGGCTCAGAGCAACATCTCTTTTGTGCTCCTCTTTTATTTCCTGGGGTCAGGAAACAAACCTGTTGTGCAGCATAAATGTGCACATTTTGTGTTCCAGGTATTGTAAAACAAGTAGGAGAATGAAAATGAAATGCAGATGTACAGTAAGGCTTAGGGAGGAGTAGGATGGGGAATGGGGAAGGGGGGCATGCAGTGAGCCAGGGAATGACACAGCAGGGCTGCTCATAAGGAGGGTGAGCACAGAGCTCTTTGTGGGGGCTCCAAGCTTTGTACCATGCACCCACAAAAGGGC